ATTCCAAGAACGTTTTATTTTCGTAACTCCTGTATGATGTTTTTATCTCTTCTTTCCAAATCTTGTTTGCTGAGCAAAGTAATCATAACGTTCTGACTTTTTCCACATGTAATAGAAAGCTACACACTCAGCAACTGTTCTGGTTCTTACCTAAAAGGCGGCAAGAATAATTGACAAGATTAATGCAAAGACTCATGTTTTGTCATCTCCCCAATTCCCATATTCCTGCAATATTGTAACTTTTATTGTTCTAGTATCATGAACAAACCAATTAAATTAGGAGACTTCAAAGAGATCTAGAGTTTCAAGTAAGTATTACATTTGTTCTACTGTATGCATTAGTGGCTTTTTTAAAACTAGATTGAAACTATCTACATCTGAAGCATTTATATATCATAAATATATATAACAATTTTTTGAACTGTAAGATAGACTCTCTCTTAAGATGAAAGAAGCTAGGCAAATCAATGACCTAAGAGAAGTGAAGCAGAAAAGACTGTCAGTACTTATTCCTTTTGGGAAAGTCCAGAATAAAGTGTCTTATAAACTATATCCATTTTTAGATGCAGAAGGATTTCACATCATCATCAGCCTCACAGTTCCAGTTTAAGTTTTAAAACTAGAATATACTGTAGCTATCCAGATATAGTCTGGCAGTAAACTATTCTTGAGCTTAAACAAACTTACAGAAACATCACTGCCAAATCCAATATGCCTTGGGTGTAGTAGTAAACCTTGCTAGTCTAGACACAAACATACCAGGCAGGGGAGGAAATGAACAGATGTCCATATGCTAGTATATAAAGTCCCAGTTAACAACACTTTGCAGTACAGTGATAAGGAAACACCTCTTGTTAAATTTCTCCACGCACTGAATCTTGTCGAGCTGATACTTTCCATATACAAGTGACATCAGCTTACGCTGGGTCCCACAACTTTCCCTAAACTTTCTGGCTTTTTACCTACTTGGAAAAAACACCAGTGGATTCCTTAGACAAATTCTGGTCCATAGTGACAGATACATCAAGCCACGTAGTTTGTTGCATGTTGGAAAAAATATTTTTAAATTATTTCTTTGCATCTCTGATGAATTACTGTTTATTGCTAAGTTCCATTTAAAATCTGAACCACCCAAATATTATTTAGGCCAGGTTAAACCAGGTATTGAGCAGGACTAGCTGACTGTTCTTGAACAGAAACCACAACCCTACAAAGTTTACCAGAAATACAATAAAAACACCAAACTCCTAAAGAAAAAAAACTCAAGGTGGTATGAAAGCATAAAGGAGATACACAGAAAATTTGGAAACATCCGTATTGCCAACTGTTGCTTTTGATCAAAAAAAAGAAAAAAATCCCTATTCTTCAGGCACAGAGGAGTCAATCAGAAGCAATCCAGATCAAGATTAGAACTCTTTTGCTGGCCGGAAAACAGAGTACTGATGGATGACTACACTTTGTGAAAACACAAAGAGCTAAGCCTGTTTCTGTTTTTATCACCTCCCTGGTGATAAAAATAAGTTAAGATGCATTTTCCCCTCCCAGAGCCATGGTATGGAAATCCTGTACTTCTAGGAGAGGCACACATTTAAACTACATTATAATACATAATACATGCATAAATGGAAGTAATGTCAATGTGCGTCTATTTCTGAGATAACACACTGACTCATCTTGCAATGCCTAGCTTTTCCAATGACATCTGAGGAAAAATCAGCACAAAAATGCTAAGCTGGTTTTAATATGTTGGTTCTTATTTCACTTTTCTGCAAGGCTTCTGACAAATGTATTGCTCGTACAGATTTTTAGCATTGTATCATCTACCAATTCTTCCACTGAACTCTAAAATACTAACCTTGTTTTTCTGTATGAGATGAAAGTCTTTCCCATAAATGAGAAGTGCATGTTCAAAGCTTCTGCATTCTTCTTCTGTCCATGCCGTCATCTCTTCTAGACAATTACAAAAGTAGCATGATAAACTTGTTTTCACTCACTATCCTTTTACAAAGAACAAAATATTTGTTGCTAATGGATGAATATCCAAATGCATTCTAAAAAAACCAATAGTTCGTGTTCTTTCCTCCACTGTACAGATATCCCACCTGAAATCTAACATTCTTCTTTATAAAGACTCGTAAAAGAGTTTGATTTCTGAAATCTTTAATCATTGAAGGCAAAGGACGTTCAAAAGATTTACTATTTCTTAGTAAGTTTGTCATCAAAAAAACAAGGTTTGATAACACCACCGAGGTATCAGTGAGATAATTTTTCTAAATATCTCTTCTCACATAGGATACAAAGAACAGTGGTTGTCGGAAAAAAAAAAGGAAAGGAACAACCTGTTGTGACGGATGCCCCACTCTGACTGAGCAAGCAGTACTTTGATTCAGGCATCACCGACAAGTGGGCCTGACTGAAATCAGCCCTGCTGTGCAAACCATGAGAACTGTCCTAGGCCTTATCTTCGCAGAAGTAAGGAGTCTAGGCCATGTCTTCTCAGGAGCTAACAGTACCAGCCCAAGCTGGGACTAGACAAAACTAAAACTGCTTACAGCTGCACGTACACCAAAGGGGGGGCTGACCATGAGTCAGTCACTTTATGCTATCGATACCTGTAGCCTCCCCAAGCCCATTAAGCTCGTCAGCAGGCTGCACAGAGGTGATCTCTCCTTGAGCAGGGAAGGGACACCGCTCATGGTTACCCTGCAGGGTTGAGACACTCCTTACCCAGCACCTGATGGCTGTAACAAGGTAAGGGACATTTTACATTAAGCCTAAAAGTATGTTGTATGCTAGCGACACATGTATATATATATCAAGCTAGGGCTTAATTATTAGAAGTGTAGTAAGTAGTAGAGTGTTTGACTGCCACCTAATTATCAATTAATTATTGTTAAATCCGTGTTAAATCACTGTTTAATTACTATTCAATTATTGCTTAATTACAATTTAATTATCAATCATTATTAATTATTATTTGATAATTTAACCCAATTATCATTTGATAATTTAATCATTAATAAAACCTTTTAGTTAACTCCGTAATGATGACTTTTCTTAGTAATTCACCTGTGACAAAAATTGGCATAGTTGGCAGGATGGTGAATTCAATCACTGACTACTTATGGAGGCACGGAGTTAACCCTTCACTGAAATTTTCAAATGACTGGGTGCGTGAAAAGCAGGATAATTGGAATAAGATAAAAGAACGGTTGAACCTTGTGGGAGGGAAACTGAAAGACGGTAAAGAGAAGGTAATAATAATATACAGAAGTTGAAGAGGTATTTAGGAGCTGCATATCAGTATAAGGAACATGAAGAACAAGAAATGAGAATGTTCCAAGATGAGATTAAACAAAGAAAGTGACAAGAAGTGTTGTTACCTCTGCAAATAGACCAATTGCTTAAACAACTAGGGGAGAAAAAAGAAAAGTGCAGGACAGTAGAGAATAAACTAGAACTCACGGTAATTCGGACCCCCAACCCTCCCAGAGCCTGTAAAAATTTGTAAACTAATCATTTCCCCAGAAGATCGGGACGGAGATATTTGGGAGGACCCCAATGAAGAACTTAGCGACAACAATGAATTAGATGAATCAGAATTTAAGGTAGCCCCTATTATTAAAACTGAGGTATGTGCCGGACCTCAACGGGGCAGCCAGAGAAATACCATAAAGACCACTCCACGGGACCCCTTTCAACTGGCCAATCTACATAAAAAATAAGGGCAGAAGCCTGGTGAAAGCAAGACTGAATATCTCTGGCACGTCTCCTTAACTGGAGGAGATGGTATTATCTTAGATCAGGGTGGCTTTTGGGGACCAGGAGCGTTCTTGAACAAGGGAGCATCCCCTAACACTGAACCGCACCCTATTACCTGCTGAATAGCATATTGGGCAGGAGGCACAGACCCTCAGGACAGAGGGGAGCCCGCTGCTATACCAATAAGATCATTAAGTAACTTTTTACTGCTGTTACAAAGCAGCCTGCCTTCAGGCTACCAACGACAGAGGTGCACATGGTGATTACCCTGTCTCTGCCCCTGTAGACCCTAAATCCCTGAAACCACTGAAAAGGGGAGCCTCAACTGTTTTAAAATTGTACCTCATTGCAAAAAGGGATGAAATAAGGCAAACCATAGAACACAATGCTCAGGTGGGTCAGGATGGCCAACCCCACCTCCAACCCAGCCTGACCAGGGCAGACTTAACGCACGGCATTGTAAATCATAGTCGAGAAATGGCGTGGGATGAACTGACACCAGCAGGGCGATCCCAAGTTGATGCAGACAGCAGACAGATCTGGCAAGTCAGACAGACTCCCCAGAACCCCCAACACTTTCCCCGATCTCATAAACCCCCTGGTGAAGTAGTGGACCTCCAGAAAAGGCATAATGAACCGTGGAAGAAAGCCTTAGCCTTAGCACTAGGCATACCTCGGGGAGCCATACGGGGCCAACCAACTGGGACCGTACTTAGTCTGATCCAGGCTTTTGAAAAACAAAGGATATCAGGGAATCAGGAACAAACCAACCAACCATCTGCTCCTAAAGATCCCATGAATAACCTTTTGGCCTTCTTAAGGAGGAGCTGCAAATTATTTTTTTTTTTTTAAAGATAAAACCTGCAGTTTCTAAAACTTAAATTTAGTTTTATAAACAACAACTAAAAAATCACTAAAAAAGAGTAAGACTTTTAAAACGAAGTAGCTCAAACTATTTGAATAGGTCGGTTTTGCCTCAAGTATTGTTGCTTTCCTATCTGGCTCATGGGTTTGGATCTACATACAATTAAGAAGGGATATTTCAACTATCTTACATTCATAATGGTGATCAAAAAAGCTTCCGTTCAGCTGACATTTAAAGCCAATGAGGGGAAAAAAACCCCACATTTCAAAACACTTCTGGAAGCAGACACTGGAACCAAGACCTTTCTGCTCCCAGATGAAGGTGATAATCATTCCACTGTATGGCCATTTTCTTTCTTTCTCACTCCATTAATTTTGCACTCCTTACTACAGAGTTCTCAAGCCTCAAAGAGAAGAAAAGATCCCCATGTAAAGTGTCACCATTAAGAAACTATCCTGGGAACGGTGGATTTTTAATTCTCATCTTGAGAATAGCAATGAACTTCAGTGGGTAGAGTAGATCATAGCATAATGGTCTCTCTAAGAGACAGGCAGGGCAGAGTGTCACTACTAGGTCTCAAGACAGAATTTTGGGCTCTGAACCACAAATGGGTAGAGGTACTTTTCAATCCTGAAACAGGAATCTAAATCCTACAGAGACGTGGGACTTAGGATACAAACCTGCAACTGATACATCCTTATTGTTTAGGTCTACACAATCTCTTCTTGTACATGACCTTTCCGAAGCACTGCTCTGGTAGTCCTTTTTGTCCCCTTCAGCTTTACTTTAGACACTTAGCTTTTGCAGCACCTAACTTGTAAATACTCAAGTTCCCTTTGGATCCAGTTCTAAGTAGGGAGTATCTGCCAGAATATCAACTTAAACGAGGGCTCATACTCCATTTCTGCTTTATGCAACACATATGCTAAAATACAGGACAAAGAACTGTCTTTGCTAAATGATAAAATTCTGTGTGTCATTTAAAGGAGTAATAAAGTTAGGGACAAACAAGATGGAAGCTCCTTTTCCCCTGTAAACTCAAGCAAAGCTCTCAATGCTCTACCACAGACCTACAGAACTATACAGCAGAAGCAATTTAGGGTTGGCATAGCACAGCGTTAGCACAGTGAGGAAGGGTCGTGCTTATTTATACACCTAGCTATGTTCTCCTGATTCTGCTATAAATGTCATCAGATTATATCATGATCTCAAAAAGATACTTATTGTGGGTGAGAACTGCCTCATCAAAGGGATAACCAGAGCAATATCACCACATTCCCCAGCCCTCTCCTCAGTCTGTGCCATTCTTACAACAGCAATGGGGGAAAGAAGGGAAGGTGAAAAGCTGATCCTGCAACTTTTATAGAAGTTGCAAACTTCTCTAGCAGCAATTTCCAACTGGTCAACAGTCAGATTATACCTAATCTGTGCTGAAGACATCATGGAAAAGGATGTGCTCATCAATCTGATTCTTACTCAAGGTTTTTCTTACACAACTTTTTTTTCTTCCTTTTTTTCAAACACACATTTCTGAAAAAACAGTTACTCTCTCTTACCCTGAGATGCCTTTCCATTTGAGCAGTATCTCTCAATTGCTTCTTTAACATTATGGCTACTCTTGAGAAGTTCATACAGCGCCTACAAAACAGGAAAAGTCTTTAGAAAGAGGCAAAGTTTGCAAATATCCAATCTAGACTTCTAAAACTAGCCTTTCAGTGAGCATATCTAATGTAAAAAAGAGGATTTATCTTTATACATGATGAAAATTTTAACATGACAACCAAAAGCAAAACCATCCAAAAGCTGAGGCAAGGTTTAATTAAGAAAATGTAAAACTTTATATGCAATTACTAGAAGAGCTGGATTTGTCAACAGCATGGCAATCGGAAACATCAAAGATCACACACTGGCAACATTCAAATACTTGTAATTTTAAGCATGTGCTTAAAATTACAAATAAGATCCTGACCCCAATAACATCTAATTAAAAAAAATAAAGAAATTGAGTATTGCTGCCTTTATGATACAAGGCAGAGAAAGAGAACAGATGTTAATTACAAAGCAATGTGTCACTAATGGAACAGGATATAAAACATACTTGTTCATTGTCCCGTGTATGCAGTCCTTCAGGAATTCTGCCAATCATTTTTTCATTTCCTGTTCTTAAGGAGGTTTCAAAAAGGTATTCTTTAACTTTACTTTCTGAGATCACATCAGGTTTCCAAAGTAAATGGTCTTCATTTTCATAGGCTGTTAAAACAGAAATCCATTAACGCCAGGTGTGACATTTTTAAGGCTGTAACATGATTTCATGAATATTTCACGAATACAAAGAACAGGAACACAGAAGTAATAAAATCAAGCACCATCATGCCACTTTCAAATTGCAGCTCACTTCTTCCCCAAAAGCCTCAGTTAAGAGACAGACTCTGCAGTGTGACACAGTGAAGAGATTCAGGTTCCATGGGGATGAGATTAGGGATTGAACTCTTGAGACGAAGAGTATTTACAGAGGAGCAGCTTGTTGACAGCTAGATGATTCAAGTCAAATTATGCATATGCATTCATTATCTTCATATAAACAAACTAGCAAAACCACTCAATTTTATTCAGCTCTTTTCAACAAATGAACTATAGTTTACAATAAAAGAGTGTACAAAATTACTTTAATATTTCAAATATTATTAAAGGAGTAATAAAGTTAGGGACAAACAAGATGGAAGCTCCTTTTCCCCTGTAAACTCAAGCAAAGCTCTCAATGCTCTACCACAGACCTACAGAACTATACAGCAGAAGCAATTTAGGGTTGGCATAGCACAGCGTTAGCACAGTGAGGAAGGGTCGTGCTTATTTATACACCTAGCTATGTTCTCCTGATTCTGCTATAAATGTCATCAGATTATATCATGATCTCAAAAAGATACTTATTGTGGGTGAGAACTGCCTCATCAAAGGGATAACCAGAGCAATATCACCACATTCCCCAGCCCTCTCCTCAGTCTGTGCCATTCTTACAACAGCAATGGGGGAAAGAAGGGAAGGTGAAAAGCTGATCCTGCAACTTTTATAGAAGTTGCAAACTTCTCTAGCAGCAATTTCCAACTGGTCAACAGTCAGATTATACCTAATCTGTGCTGAAGACATCATGGAAAAGGATGTGCTCATCAATCTGATTCTTACTCAAGGTTTTTCTTACACAACTTTTTTTTCTTCCTTTTTTTCAAACACACATTTCTGAAAAAACAGTTACTCTCTCTTACCCTGAGATGCCTTTCCATTTGAGCAGTATCTCTCAATTGCTTCTTTAACATTATGGCTACTCTTGAGAAGTTCATACAGCGCCTACAAAACAGGAAAAGTCTTTAGAAAGAGGCAAAGTTTGCAAATATCCAATCTAGACTTCTAAAACTAGCCTTTCAGTGAGCATATCTAATGTAAAAAAGAGGATTTATCTTTATACATGATGAAAATTTTAACATGACAACCAAAAGCAAAACCATCCAAAAGCTGAGGCAAGGTTTAATTAAGAAAATGTAAAACTTTATATGCAATTACTAGAAGAGCTGGATTTGTCAACAGCATGGCAATCGGAAACATCAAAGATCACACACTGGCAACATTCAAATACTTGTAATTTTAAGCATGTGCTTAAAATTACAAATAAGATCCTGACCCCAATAACATCTAATTAAAAAAAATAAAGAAATTGAGTATTGCTGCCTTTATGATACAAGGCAGAGAAAGAGAACAGATGTTAATTACAAAGCAATGTGTCACTAATGGAACAGGATATAAAACATACTTGTTCATTGTCCCGTGTATGCAGTCCTTCAGGAATTCTGCCAATCATTTTTTCATTTCCTGTTCTTAAGGAGGTTTCAAAAAGGTATTCTTTAACTTTACTTTCTGAGATCACATCAGGTTTCCAAAGTAAATGGTCTTCATTTTCATAGGCTGTTAAAACAGAAATCCATTAA